CTGCTACTCTGAGTGACACGTCTGAGATCTGTCCTCAAGGTAATCAGAACCAAGAGGTGAGATGACTTGTCACCCCAAGGCCGGAAGGCTACAGGACCCAGCCTGGGTCCACTTGGCCTCTGCCAACAGAGCCCCACCAGGCAGAGGCACTTGGGACCTGTCATCACCTGGCTGTAGCAAGGAGTTGGCCACCTCAGGCTGTGTCCTCTCATCAGCAAGGGACATGAGAGCCACCTCCTCCAGAAGTGAGACAAGCACTCCAGGAAATGTCACTCAAGCCATGACAAAACAGATCAATACAGACTGCCAGGCGAGCCCTGGGCCAGCTGAAACTCTCCTGCTGTCATTTGTCATGGGCCACTGTTTTGGAGAGCTGGACTTTGGAATCCTGGATGGCCCAACCACTTCTGTTGCTGAACGTGACCCGCCTCTCACTCTGCCTGTGCCCATCTTCAAAGGGCTCTCTGCCAACATCACAGGGAGACAGCCAGTGCCACCTGTGTCATCCAGCAGAAACCCACAGGGCAGACAGGTGGCCAAATGACACTGTGGTAAATAAGCCCAGAGAGGCCAGATCTGTTTTCAGCCACAGGACTGAGCAGGGCTGAGCCTCTTCCTTCCTCCCGCCTTGCTCTTAGTGATTATTCCCGGCCCCTTCCTGTGCCAGGTCGGAGCTCGCTCTGGGGACTAACAGGAACACAGGGCAGCGCCTGCCCTGGGAGAAAGGGTTTTGGGGCAAAGAAGCACCCTGCCCAACCACCCACGCTGCTCAGTGGCTCACTTGGCAAATGCCCTGGCACCCTGTCCAGCATGGCAGTGTGGGCATGAGGACCAAGGGGGATAGAGAGGCACCTGGGTCAGAAGGAGGAGGGCAGGAAACCAGAGTCATCACCGGCCACACAGTGATGGAATAGCACTAGAGTGAAGTCCTATCCCTCTGCCTATGAAAGCGACCTTATTGGGTTTTGGGGTTTTGTTTTTTGTTTTTGTTGGTACCAGGGATTGAACCCAAGGGTGATTAACCACTGATCAACATCCCAGCCCTGTTTATACTTTATTTAGAGACAGGGCCTCACTGAGTTGCTTAGTGACTCATTGTTGCTGAGGCTGGCTTTGAACTCATGATCCTCCTGCCTCAGCCTCCCGAGCCGCTGGGATTACAGGTGTGCGCCACCAGATGTCATCAGGTTAAGGTGGAGTGACACTGGAGTAGGCTAGACCCTGAACTAACCGGGACTGTTCCTTAAGAGACACGAGAAGACAGACGCAGAGGGACGGGCTGTGAGAACACAGAGCAGAGCCTGCAGGGACGATCTGGGCTGAAGGGTGCCCACCTGCCCCCAGGAGAGAGGTCATGAGGAGCAGACTGTGCCCTGAGCCTTGGGAGGGAGCACAGCCCTGTTGCCACCCTGATTTGTCCAGAACTGCGAGCAGATGAAGGCCTGTTGCTCCAGCCACCTGAGGAGCTCTGTAATGGCAGCCCCTGGAAGCTGACACGCTGGGCCTTGCCGGTTTCCTAGGGGAGCCCAGTGACCTAATCCCCACATGTAGCAGCAGCCCCACCCGGCAGGGGTGCCTCGCCTGCCCCGGGGGCACTCTGGGGCCTCTTGCTGGCCTCCTGGCCACGCTCTGCTGTCTCAGGCCTTCCTCCTGCTTCTCTTCCTCCCAGTGGTCTTGTAAGCCAGACCTGTAGCCAGAGCCACCCCGACCCGTGCGGAGGGCTGTTCTCAGTCACAGGAGCAGGAAAAGCTGCCCTGGGAAAAGCCCCCGTGGGGAGGCTGGTGGATGCGAAGGGAAGGGCAGGGACTGGAATTAAACCCAGGCCCTCGCCCCTCAGCCGAGTCAGTGTGGGCAGGACCTGTCTATGAAGAGGGCCTGGGAACCCCTGCCTGGCAGAGGCACCTGAGGATGAAGTGAGGGACAGGTGGCCAGTACCCTCCTGTCTGACCTCCCAGCTCCAACAACCAGGTAGCTCTTCCTTGAAAGCCACAGCTACTGTCTCTTCGTCCATGCACAGGCTGCTGTGACATGGGAGCTGGTGGCCAGAGGCCCGTGCGCCCCAGGGCCTGTCACCTGCTCTTCTGCCAGCCTCCAGCAGAAACCTCCTGTCAAGGAACAGCCCTCGGGGAAAGCAAATAAAAAGCCAAGAGTTCCGCAAGGTGGGCACTCAGGTGGTCCCAGCCCGCGGCCCGCAGGGGAGCACCAGCCAGGTGGAGGCAGGCTGAGCATGGCGTGGACAATGGGTGCCGAAACTGAACAGATCACTCGCTGTGTGCTGGGCACTTGGCTAAGAGCTTTCCCTGACCCTCCCGGATGCAACCTGAGCACCACTCCAGGAAATGTGGCATCTGACCCACTCACTAGGAGAACTGAGGCCAGGAGGCTTGGAAACTGGCCCCAGGAGCCACGGCTGCACTGAATCCCCACTACCCCTCCTCTGGGGTTCCCACCTGCCTCAGGGGCATCCCTCAGGGGCATCTCGCTCACTGCAGTGCTTGATTTCCAGGGGCTCCCACCCCGCAGCCCTGCTCCCTCTGCTGCTCAGCTGGTGACAGGCTTCTGCAGTGCACACACAGGCCTGGCTGGCTGCACCTTAGGGGCAGCTCAGGGAATTTTCAAGAGACTCTGGACTTTGCACCCAGCCTCCAGTGCAGCCCCCTGGGGCATCAGGACATTCCAAAGAGAAAGTGTGGAACATGGAGAAGATCATGCTGGCAAGGGGCTTGTGAGAGGATGGCAGGAAATGAGCCAGTCTAGCCAGTGAGGCTCTCCCAAGGCCCCTCGCGGACAAGCTCTGGCAGCAGCTGGAGTCCCACTCTGGGCTGGCCCTGCTCCCTACTGACCATGAGGCTTAGTTGCTGGAGCCTGTGGCCAAGTCACTTACCCACCCAGGCCTATTTCTCCCTCTAGGTAGTGGGGGAAAGCCCCTGGCCCACAAAGCCCTGCTCAAAATTAAAGGAGAGAACCCCAAATGGACAAATCATGAACAGATACCTGCTAAGTATTCAGGTACCACTTTCTCTCAATGAACTACTTGGAAGAAACAGCAAGACACTGTGTACAGGATGAATGGAGGGAGGGGGAGTAAGGACATAAGCCAATGCCTAAGTCATGAAAATTACAGAAAGATTCTAAATGACAATTTCCATCTTTGCACGATTTATTTTCCAAACAGCCAGGTCCAATGTTAAATGCACACTTTTTCTTTAATCTGATAAGCATAACAGGGAAGAATGAGCAGGAAATGTACATGAGAGACAAGAGGAAGATGAAGTGCGGAGAAGGCAGACTATGACCACAGACCACAGCATGACAAGTGATCTGGGCAAGGTACAAGTCACCATCCAGAAGAAACGCAGAGAATTTCAGGTTCCCATGAAAAGATACATTTGGTTTTTTAATGAGCAACCCTCCTAGAGCTAAGGTTGTGCACACTGACCCGCTGGAGAAGGGGGCCAGACCTTTTGAGGGAGCAGAGCTAAGGCTTCCACCCCAGGGAGGCGGCTGGTGCAGGAGGAGCCATGCACTTTGAGCTCAATCAGATTTGGATCCAATTCCAGTTCTATCCCTTAGTAGCTGCATGGCAACAGGTGAGACAGATGCTACTTCTCTGAGCCTGGGCTTCCTCATTCTCAGAACAAGGATCCTAAGATTTCCTGCCCCGTTCTCCTGAGCAGGAAAGAAAGGAGTGCCTTTGAGAATGCCCAGCGGTTGTCGCAGCCCAGAAGGACATGGAAGGTATGTGTCCTTGGATGGATTTTTCCGTCACTCAAATGAATAAATAAGTGTCCAGCCTGCCCTCCCGAGCTTAAGAAGCTTGCCCAAGGTCGCACAGCGAGTCAGGAGAACTGGAAAGAGACCCAACCCCATGCGCTTTGTCCCGGGGTCTCCTGCTTGCTATTGCTGGGGTCTGGGGGTCACAAAGACCAGCAAACCCAGACTCTGCCCTCGAGGAGCTCACAGTCTAGGAAGGGGAAAAGGAATGTTCATACAGAGCTGCCACCAGGAACCATTGTCACCTTGATTCTGGAATAAAAGAAGGAGGGGTGATTGGCTTGGAGGGAAGGGCTGGGTCAGAAGAGACTAAGAGCACATGAGAGTGACATAGTGCTACATGGAGGGGACCTCTTCATGCACGGGGCCTCACACAGCACGGACCTATTAAATGCTGGAAGAATAGGTGAATGGATGGGGGAAGAGACCAGGAGGGGTGCAGAGTGGCAGGCCACTGGCCTGGCAAGCAGCTGGATGAGTGGACAGATGGACAAGAAGGTGGCGAGAGAACATGGAAATGATGGTGCACGGTGGACACTCAGGGGGATGCTACTGGGGCCTGAAGATGGTTTCACTCCAAAAGTCGAATGTTGAGATCACCACGTTGATGGATGGTGCTGGGAGGCAATTAGGTCATGGAGACCCCAGAGAGCCACACCCCTCCCACCATGTGAGGATGTGTGGAAGATGCCATCTCTGGACCAGGAACCTGACGCTGAACCTGTGGCACCTGGACCTTGCTCTCCCCAGCCTCCAGAACTGAGGAGTCGTTGTTTTGGGTAACACCTATCAGCCACCTTCCCATGGTGTCCCCCCACAGCAGCTCAATGGACTGGAACGATGCATAAACCAGGGACTGGCCAGTGAGTGGGTGGGCAGCTGTGTGGATGGGTGGAAGGATAGCTAGGCAGAGGCAGGACAGTCGGGAAGATGGTGCAGGATGAATGACCACGGGGCAGAGTGGGTGGATGGTGACAGAGAGACAAGCAGGTACACAGATGGGTGGTGAGGCAAAAGTGGTGATGGATGGGTGGGTGAGATCTGTGGGTGGAGGCAAGTAAGTGAATGGAAAGAGTGAAGGATGGATGGACAGCCGGGCTGACTGGTTTGGACAGGTGTGTACAGCGGACACGGGGAATGAATGGGTCATGCCTTGACCTAGTGCCTGCACGGGAAAGTCTGAGGAAATAGAACAATCAGTCCGGCCCTGCGTTGTGCCCACTTACCAGGCTACAGCCACCAGCGGGGGCCTGGGCTCCCAGCTCCTCCCGCAGGCTCTGGTTTTGCTGGGCGAGCTCCTCCACCTGGCCATGCAGGCCAATCTCGGACAGCTGCAGCCCATAGATGCAGCAGCGCAGCTCCTCCAGCTGCCCGCAGAGCACGCGCTCAGTGGCGCGCTGCTCCCGCAGCCGACGCACCGCCTCTTCCCGCTCAAGCTCGCTGAGTTCTGCCCTCTGCTGCAGGGCGCACAGCTCCGCGGCTGCCTCCGGGGCTTCGCGGGGATTGGCAGGGACCTGCAGCCTGGGCTTGCCGGAGACTGGCGAGACTGGCGCGGGGGCCTCAGTGCCCCGCTGAGCCAGCAGGAGGCCCGCGGCGCGACAGAGGTGCCTCACATCCCTCTCCAACCGCTGCACCTGCGCCCGCAGGATGCGCTCCTGATCCCGCACCAGACCCAGTTGGCACCGCTGGATCCTCCGGCAATGCTCCAGGGCCGCAGCCTGCAGCCCTAGCGCCTCATCCCTGCGCCGCAGCTGCCCCCTCAGCCTTCGCAGCTGCTGCCGCTGCCGCCAAGCCACACTCTCCTCTTGCTGAACCTATAAGTTGGCGATGATGAGGCGTCAGGAAGCCCCAAGATCACCATTGCTCACCCTTGATCCTGCCTGGGCAAGGATTTTCCATATTTTATGCACAATGAAGTGTTCTTTTTTCTTTTTTGTTTTCGAATTAATTCCTTGCATTAAAATAATGCGTCAAAATATTATCTGGATTACTGAATTTTTTTGGTCAAGTGCACGCCATCCTAATCTGGGTCCTGCACCACTAAGAGCTCCCCAAGTCATTCCAAGAGAAGCGCAGTGGGCTAGAGGGGCAGGTGCCTCTGGAGGGAGGCTAAAACTGTTCAGCTGGAACTGTTCCAGCGGGACACCCCCACAGCACCTTGCAAACAGCTGTTGCCAGAGCACTTGGGTGTCCACACTTCCACCCCAGAACCACCCTGAGCTCCCCATCTCCCAACACCCAAACTGGCTCATGCCTGGTCCAGCCAGGGTCAGCTGGCCCCAAACCACCATGCCACAGCTACTGTTCCTTGTTGTAAATGCTCACCTAGTGGGACTGTCACTAGCCCCATGGGACACTCAGATTGATTTGCTTAATATCACACAGCTAAGATGTAGCAGCCAGGCCTGGAACACACCGTCAGCCTCCTACCTGACTCTAGTTCTGCTCCTTCTCCTTCCCACCTCCTGCTTGTCCAGAGAACATGCCTGTCTGCCCTTGCACCTCCCCTCTGCCCCACCCAATGCTGCGAGATGGACTGGGGTGCAGCCACCTTGCATACTGACAGTCCTTTCCTGATTTCAAGAATGAATCCAAGCAAAGGGGTGGAAGAGCTGGCAGCCTAAGCCAGAAGATGGAAACGGGAAGAGAACACCTGGGACAGGGGTGAGAGGCTATGTAAAAACTGGAGTTCCTGAAGGTGGGAATTCTGTAATCAGGGTTGCCTGGTGTTTCGTGGACAGGGCTCCATGGCCTGAGTGGGTGAGCCTTTGACAACTTCAGAGTGTCTGCAGGTCACTACAGAAATGAGGCCTCTTTGTATGCAAATGATTCCTGGGAATCTCCCTGAACTTCTGCCTCTCATCTGGACATGGGGTTTTGTGACAGGTCTGTCCTCGGCACATGCATACCACATGAGATAGCAGTAAATGAAGGACATGGTGAGAAAGGGCTTAGCATCCTCCTGAGGAAACCATGGGTTCCTCCAATCCTGCTCCCCACGGGCCTCTGTCACTCATCACACTGTGCACATCTGGACTACAGGGCTATGCCAGGGGTCCTAATGTCCAGGGGGCATAGCTCAAAGACCCCATTGTAGTACTTTTCAGAGAGAAATCACACCCCAGCTGATGGGGTCCCCCACAACTTTCCTGTCCCTTACAGTAGAAACTCCCCTGGGCTGGTGTTCTGACCCAGGGAGAAGAGGCTCCACTCTGCCCCTAAGGACCAGAGTGCAGGGCGACCCTCCTCTGGGCGGAGGTCTCCCTGGCTCCTCGAGGACCCAGTGTGCTTAGAAGACTCCTTACCTTCCCACCCTCACTTAGCTCTGTTAGTGGCTGCACCAGTGCCTCTCCACTTTCCTGATGGCTTCTCACTGAGAACACTTGGTTCACCTGCCCTTGATGCATTCACATTGGTATGAATCAAAAAATATGCAAAACAACGCACCCCTTGCACACGCATGCTTGTTGATATTTCCAACTGTAGTGGCCCTGCATTCCCTCGGCTTGGCTGGAACAAGCATCAGAAAGAGGAAGAGAAACTCACCTGGCTGACCAGCTCCTCCTGCAGTGCCCGCAGCTGCTCCTGGGCCCACAGTGAGGTGCTTCTTTCCTGGACCACGCAGGCACGCAGCCGGTCCACCTCCCGGAGCAGCTTCCTCTGTGACACCTCCAGTGCCTGAATCCTGTGGCATTGGAAGCAGGAGGTACCTGCTCAGCGTGGAGCAGCTCAGCCTAAGTCTCCACAGACACCTTAGTTTCCTTGTCATTGGCCAATTTGATGTTCTAACAAAATTACACATTTAAATCTTTCATACACACCTTGTTTAGGACTACCTACAATACTTGAAAGACATCATTTGAATAGTGAAGTACCCTCCATCAGGACTCTCACCCCATACTGGGGAGATACCAAAAGTGACTGGCCGGAGTTTATCTGGGTGGCTTCAATTCATCCTCCCAACACGAACAGCCTGAAGGGGATAATGTTCCCCTGACTTCACACATGGGGAAACTGAGGCTCAGAGGGATCAGGTAGCTTGTTTAAGGTCACACAGCATTATAGAGTCTAGGCTGTCTAGTAAATTCATGCTTTCAGGCCTGTGCTGTGTTGCTTGCATCCAAGCCACGTTCTTATGAGTCTTTCTAGGGAATGATCGACATTCAGAAAAAGCTCTGGAATAAAAGAAAATCCATCTCTGTATAATGTCCACTTCTAAGTGAGAAGCAGGAAGCAGCTTAACCAACAGGAGCAGCTGAGCCATGCAGCGGCTTTAGGTCATCCGGAGGCTGTGTCACCAGCAAAGCAGCACCAGGCCTGGGCGTGAGCCTGACCCCAGGTCTGTAGAAGGAGATGCCCGCCCCCAGGATGGGGAGAACATTGAAGAGAAAGAGGAAGGGAAAGTCACCTGGCTGACCAGCTCCCCCTGCAGTGCCCGCTGCTCCTGGGCCCACAGTGAGGCCCACGGGGGAGGGGGGGGGTGCTCCTGTCAGAGGCACTGCAGAGGCCAGAGGCTTCTAGGATAGAAAACCTCCATGCACACGGAGGCCTCCGCCAGCAAGCTCTGCATCCTCGCTCTGTTACTGAGTTCACACTGCTGACCTCATTCAGGGAAGACTCTGCTCCCCGGAGTGAAGACCAGCCCTGCCTCCTGGTTCTGCCATTCAGCAGCCCTGAACTGGATGTGTTCGCCACCACGACCCTACTTTATCTTTGAAATAGAGGTAATTCTATCCTGCTCACATGGTTCCTGGAAGGTTTAATAAAATGATGCATTATTAACAATAAGTCCAAGAGTCTCCTCTCCTACTCCAGCACTTGGGCCTTAAGGAGAAGATTATAGTCAAGGCCCTTTTGGCCTGAATGCCCCCCCACCCCGACACAGTTAATCAGTCAGGGTCAGGCTGGTGCCTTCTGATTGCTAATGAAAGGCAGTGAGAGCTGAGGGGGAAAGAAAAGGCAGCCTGCCCCATGAAACGTGAGAATGTTGCATTCTGACCCTCTCCCTATTCCTAAACCAAGCAGAAGAAGATGGTCTCCCTGAGGCAGGATGACTCAGCCCCAGATTCACCCAAGCCCAGTCCCTGGGACCCAAGACAAAACCCTTGAAGTGCAAAAGAGGCTGCAGGTGCCATTAGGCCAAGGCACACATGTGAGACAGGAGAGCCTCCCTGGTTATCCAGGTGGCCCTGACTATGTCCTTGTCAGAGGGAGGCACGGGGAGAGTGGGCTTCAGGGAAGAAAGCTAGGTGACCACAGAAGCTGCGCCACAGAAGCTACACTGGGGGCTTGAAGATGAGCAAGGAAGGAGCCGTTTCCCCACAGCCTCTGGGGGAGCAGGGCCCTGCTGGCACCCTAGCTTGATGCACCTGAGCTCATTTCCAGCTTCTCACCTCCAGAACTGAAGGACAATCAGTATATGCTGTCTTAAGCCACCGAGTAAATAGTCATTTGTTATGGCAGCCATAGGACACTTACAAGGTAGCTTGTTCAAGGTCAAGGTCACACAGCAATATAGAGTCTAGGCCAGTAAATTCATGTTTTCAGGCATGAAAGAAATGGACAATGGCATGTTTTTCACTGGTTACACCAACAAGTTTTTAAAAATATTGGTAGACAGTGCTGCAAAGAATGCAATGAAACTAGAAGATTCTGTCACGCAGCAGAATGCACTGGCCCATCGCAGCCGAGGGGACATCCTGACTGCCTGGCTAAGTCCCACCACCCTGCATGGCTGGGAGCGGCCTGGGGTAAGTTACCTAACTAACCAGCTGCGGTTTCCCCATCTATGGATGAGAACAACACCAGGGCCTCATTTTCAGTACTGTCCTAAGGATTGGCCAGGCTCATCCTGCCTAGGACGGACAGTGGCTGATGTCAAGCCAGAGCTCAATAAGGTCCTCACTGTCCTTCATCCTTGGCATCTAGATTGGAAACAATTACACAAAAGTGCTCACGCCATGAAGACAGAGCAGGGATTTCTTTCTCAAATTTCCAACAGTGCTGTTGTGTTATTATAAAGACTTTAAGATCCTATTTTGTGGAAATGAATCCAATGCATGCTGCCAACTATTTGCTGATCCCAGCTAGACTACACCTCTAAGGTATTTGGCCTGAAATCTGAGTTTGGAATCATGGTTCAAACCATGGATGATGAGCTTCGTCCCCTCAGCCCCAGTTTTTCCATTCAAAGAGGGAGATGATACCTTCCAGGCACCTGCGGCCCAGGAGGCCAAGAGGGTCCCTGGAGGGAGAGCAAGGGCTGTTGCTCCTCACCCCTGCCACACACCCAGCCTTTGTACCTCTGCCCCTCTTCTGCAAGATGGGCACCCTGTCTTTAAAGAGACTAGAGGACACGAGCCCCTCTCCCCCATGGGATGGTCAAGGACTCCCTCTCGAGGACGGCCTCATCCCAGGCCCAGCTGCTGAGGCCTCTCCTCTCCCACACCCACAATGTCCCTGGGGCTCTCATGCTCTCCCCCTCATGTGGAGGAACTGTGTCCATCCTCCTCTGGTGGGTGACCTCCAAGATGTGAATGCAGCTCACATGGGCTACACTGACAGGGTCTCTGGCCAGCACCCTGTCTTCCCCAGGGCTCAACCCCAGGACCAGAGTTATGAGTGACGTTATGTCCTCCTCAAAATTCACCTTTCAAAGTCCTAACTCCCAGGACCTCAGAATGCCACAGTATTTGCGGACAGAGCCTGTACCACCATAATTAAGTTAAAAGGAAGTTGTAGAGTGGAGTCATCAAATCCAATCTGACTATGTTCTTATCAAAAGAGATTGAGACACAGAGGGACACCTCGGCGACTGCACACCTGCAAGCCCAGGAGAGAGGCTGCAGGAAGAAGCAGCCCTTGACCTCACACTGCTGCTTCCAGAAATGTGGGGAAATCATTTTCTAAGCCCCCAGCCTGCAGTGCTTTGTTACAGCAGCCCAAGAAAACTGACCCAGCTGACCACCTGCCTCCAGTTCTTCAGGCTGCAGGGTGGCAGTGAACGGGCGATTACATGGGGAACATTTGTGAATGTCTTCATATGAAACATTTTTTGGCTTTGTGTTTTGAAGCACTGGGAATTGAGCCTAGGGGTGCTCTACCATTGAGCTACACCCTCAGGCCTCTTTTTTTTTGTTTATTTTGAGATAGGGTTTTGATAAGTTGTCCAGGATGTCCTCAAACTTGCAATCCTCCTGCCTCAGCCTCCCCAGTATCTGGAATTAGAGGTATGCGCCACCATGTCCAGCTTGTTTGAATGGTTTACCCAGAAGAAAAACAGTAAATTATATTTAAATACACAATTAATAACTTGAAACAAAGGCAAGAAACAAAACTGTGGAAGTACCACCACAGGCCAAGGCACCAGGCAGCCTTGGTTAGGGACCCAGCCACAGCCGCACTGCATGTCTACTCTGGGCTCCCTTCTGAGATGGCGTGGCCTCATTCTGCTGGCCAGGTGTCCAGAAGTCCTCAGGAGGCTGGGGCACTTCAGCACAGCACTTGCCTAGCTTGCGAGGCCCTGGCTTCCGTCCCCAGTGTGGAAGGGAGGGAAGGAAGGAGGAAAGGGAAGAGAAGAGAAGGAGGGGAATGAAACTAACGTATCCTGAGTCTCAAAGGAAGCATCCATGAGCCACGGAGATGCAGCAAGGCTGGGGAGCAGCTGTAACTGCAGCCATGCGCCCTTGGCCTGCGCCCTGGTTGAGGGAAACGCACACACAGGCTACAGTGGCACAAAATTGTCCCCCCGCAGCCTCCCCTGGCCCACCTCCAGTCGGGCCCCTGACTACGGCTCCTCCACAGACACTGGGGCCCCCGCCCGAGACGGGGCTTCTCACTGTGGAGACAGCCCGCATTCTCCTTGAATGTATGTCTGCTTCCCAAATGAACCTCTGTCCATGCCAGCCTGGTGTGGGCTGAAGTTCTTGTCCATCACGTATGCCAAGTGTCCCCCAGTCCTGAGTGGAACCCCCTCCCCTTTGGGAACTCCTGGGACTCTTCTTCAGAGACAGGTCTTTTCCCGTGACAGAAGAAGAAATGGGTGATCAGAAGCCTGAGCTTTGGAGAAAGACCAGGCTTCAAATGTCCACACTCAGGGCCATGGCAGCCCCTTTAGGGAAAGGGCCCCCACCAAGGAGCTCAGCCAGAGAGAAACCCGTGTGGAGTTCCTGAGGCAAAAATGAGGGACAGACAGAGGGCCGGACCCTTGCCAGGCAGCCCAGGTCGGCAGCTCTGGAGCCAATCTGCCCCTGGGGCTGGGGAGCAAGGATCGGGGCCCAGGAGCCAGTCAGGCCCCAGCAGCGTTGGGGCCATGGAGGGAGCAGAGAACCTGTTGCAGCCGCAGCTGGAGCAGAAGAGAGGAAAAGCCCCCAGCCCCTCTTCCTCACTCCCTCGAGGCACCTCTCCCTGACTGGATTGGGATGGAAGCCCAGGTGAGAAGGCACAACCTATGCAGCTGCACAGTGGAGCACAGGGAAGGCAGGAGGAGGGAGGCAGATGCCCACACAGGCAGGGTGTGCACCACTCCTCAGCTGGAGAGATGGTGCAATGTGACATGGTGACACGCCTGTCATGCCCCAGGATTTGCCACACACACAAGAGCTCACGATGCATACCCACCTGCTCCTCAGCCTGGACTCCGACATCATGTGCGTGTCCACAGCTGCCACGGGCTTCTGCTCTGAGGATTCCAGCTGCTTCCCGAGCATCACCATGTCCACCTCTGGGGTCCTGGCCACTTCTTCTGGAGGGCACCCCTGTGCTTCACCACTCTCCTCCAGGTCCCGGAATATCCAGCATGTGTCGATCTTCACATCCACGTGCGTGACATCCAAGGCATCACTGCTGGGAGCTCTGATGACATAGCTGAAACTCTTTTCAGTTCGTCCCTGAGCTGTGGGCTCCATCCCATAAATACTTCACGGATCAAGATTTCATAATATTAAGTGAGTTTGCAACGTGGACTTTATGGAGAGTTCAAGGTGGCTCAGTGACTTTGGAAACATCCTTCAGGAAAGTGTCCTTTGAGGAGGGCAAGAACAGGTGGATTATTCATGAGACAGTGATGGGTCTCTCTCCACCAGCTCATCCAATATGAATGAAAGCCTCTCGCTTTACATGTCCCCAGCCAGACTCACCAGAGCAACAGAGTCCGAAAAACCACCTGGGATGAAATGCCCAACCTCCAGCACAAAAAGTAAGATGTCCTAGTAGGACCACAAGAGTGTCACAGATTCTCAGTAGCCAGTGAGGCTCAAGACTTTACCCCAGAATGGATGAAGCCCCCTCCCTCAGTGCCCTACTTATGAAGGACTTGAAATCTGCTAGGCAAAAGGGACAGGAAGTTGATGCTGCCTGGAGTCCTTCTCTGCCTCACCAGCACAATGCTGGTGACCAGCTAGGTGACTTACTGGGTGACATCAATAAGACCCTTTTCCAGATGGTGGAAGAGGGACTTGGGAGGGTGGAGGAGCTGTCCAGGCCCCACAGAGGGCTGGAATGTGGCAGAATCAGGACTCAGATGCAAGTCTGACTCCCAAACTGGCCTGGGAGCTACAACAGGCATGGGTGCGACAGGACCCCAGGGCAAAACAGAGGGGCCCTTTGGGAGCCCAGAGGTGGGAGAGGGAGCGAGGCTCAGAGATGCAGGAGGAATGATGAGCTGCTGCCAGGACAGGGGTGACAGAGTCCCCAGGGAGCCATCCTCAGGCCACAGCCCCATGGGAATGAAGTGGCTGGGTGTGGCTGGCCAAGGGGCACTCAAGTGTGGCTCCGGGCTGTATGTAGACAGGTGCTCGGGGACTCTGGTGTCTCTGAGGCACTGGTGGGTGCTGAGGTATTCAGAGCTAGGGAGGTGAACTGGCCTGACAAATGGTGAGGGATCCAGGCCTCAGGTTTACAGAGGCAGGAACAGGGCAGCCAGCCCTGCGGGAGGAGGCCAGGCAGGCCGAGCGCTGTGAGGACAGTGAGAAACTGAGCGCTTAATTCTCCCAGTAAAGTTAGGAGGGGGCTTCTCCCTCCCTTTTCTTGAGCATTTACTTTAGAACACTCATCAGGTTTTCTTCATCTCATGGCAACAAAGCCGTCCCTCGGTGGAAATCCCAGTTCTCCTTTGTGCACCCCTTAAGCTTTTCATGCCAGGTGACTCCTCTAGGACTCCTTTTGGCCTGGGGTAAGTCTGGCCTCCCAGGATGCCCACAAACACCAAAGCCCAGGATGCTCAAGGGCCTCTAAGGAAAAGCATAGGATTTGCGTAGAACCCGCGCACCTCCTCCACGGATCTTAAATCACCTCCACAGACTCCGACCCTGGCACGTAGCTGCTGCGCTGAGTTGCCCGGGAATGAAGAAACAGAAAGGCCCGCGCTGCTCGGCACACAGGCCACAGCAACATTTTTTCTAGAGTCTTTGTCTGCCACTGGCCGAATCCACAGAGGAAGAAGGGCTGGATCCTGAGGGCCGGGTGCATATGTGAACCCTTCTGAGACTACAGAGGCCTTTTGCCGTTTTATGGTCCTAAAATGTCTTTCTCCAGGCCCCAGAACCACCTCTGTGGACCTGAACACCAGGAAGAGCACCCTCTGGTCCTGTGGCCCTGGCTCCGAGTCATCAAAACTCCTCCTCTCACAGAGACAGAGGTGAACACAGAAAGGTCCCCGTCACCAGGAGAATGTGGGAGGAATCCCGGGTAGCAGGTGCCTTGACCTGACTTAAGGACTAGCCATGGGTCACCATGAGAGCGCAGCATGGGTAAGGTTTCTGCCTCCAGCGTCCCCAGGGCCACTCAGGATGCACATCACCCCTGGCTTCATGCTCATCCTCCAATAAAGCTGTTTTCTTTCTTTCCTCCCCTTGCTGAGAGGGCATCTGAGCTGGGAAAAGCTTTTTAAAATTTTTTTGGTGGCATGTCCTCAGAAGAGGTGACATGTGGGTGGCCACGAGGGGTGCACAGGTGTGGAGCAGAAGGGGAGGGGTGGGGGCTGGCTTTGAGGGCCGAGTGAGCCTCTCAGGTCCTAGGGCTGGGCTGGGCCAGCCACCTGGCTTGGAACCCCATCTCGTCACCTCTCAGGTACGATCTGGACAAATTAATGCCTCCTGCAAGGGGGGGTAAACACTATCTAAGGAGGGGAGGGGCATCTATGCACCATGGAGGAATGGACAAGCCCCCTCACATATTCAGCAGTGCCCTCCACGCTCTGGGGTCCACAATGGCTGGGCACTGGCAGGGACACCCTGCCCTGGCTTGCTACACCACCTGCTCAGCGCAGGATCCTGGCACCTGACTCAGTCCCTTGGAACAAGAAACTGACCTCAGGCCCCTACCCCTGGGGCTGTATTGAGGGTTTCCTGAGTGCCTGGCCCCTGAGCCCCAGCTGGGAGGATCCCCCGCAGTAGGAGCACTGCAGAGGCTGAAGGCAGTGGAGAGCAGCTGAGAGAGCCCTCCCCTACAGTCCCCACCTGAGGACAGGGCACAGGCAGCTAAGCCTGAGGCCTCAGCCCAAGGGAGCATCTTTGGGCTCTTCCTGGATGACTAACCAAGACTCTCAGGAAAGGAAAACTTGGGCTGGGGGAGATGGAAGAGGAAAGTGGCTTACCGCCCAGCTGGGCTACAGGGTAGAGGCCTGAGCCCATGGATCCTGTCTTCTCTGAGGGTAGGTGCTGGGCAGCCAAGGGAGGGGAGCAGATGGTCATGGAGAGGCTGTGAGGGCCCCCACCCTTGGGGGCCTTGGAGAGGTTCCCCACAGCTAAGAATGATCACAGGAAGGACACAGGCTGTGGCTGAGACCCCAAGATAGGCAGCCCTGGAGAGGTGGGGAGGAAAAGAGAGGCTCCACCTACCACAGAATGGGCCACTAGGGCATGGGTTTGGGTCTGCAGAAGTCCCCAAGAATTCTTAGATAACCTGATGGAAGAAGCCCTCAAACTGGCTGGGTTGGAGTTTCCCATCCAATGTGCCAGACCCCTAGCCAAAGAAGCCCCTAAATTGGCTGGGTTGGGGTTTCCCATCCAATGTGCCAGACCCCTAGCCGGCTCCCATTAAATGTAAGAAATAAGCAAAAATAAGAGTTGTTTGTACTGGGAGGGTCAGGTGTGACTCCTCCTGGGGACAAGCTGGTTAGGGAAGCTGCAGGAAAGCAGATGTGCATCTTGACACTGCAGAGGGAGGAGAGGGGGAGCAGGGATGCAGCTCCCCAGGGCACTTGACCCTGCCTTGCACTGGTCCCCCCTTAGAGGCCCAGCCCAAGGCCTCAGCAAGACCGTGGGGTGGACCAGGTGGGGTGGGAATCACCCAGAGTACAGCCCTGCCTCCTGTATGTCTCCCAACACCCAGCAGGTGCGCCATGGCAAAACTCATGTAGACCAGCTGGAGCTCGGAGCCAAGGGGCATGAGAGATGAACACCCTGTAGCCTCGGGACGGTCCCCACCTAGAACCAGAGGCCTGGATCCTGTATGTGGCTTGGCATTTCAGTCTTCATAGCCAGTCTCCTGGCTCAGACAGGGCTTCATTCCCAGCTCCACAGGCTGCCAAAAGCCAGAATGCAGCTCTGAGGGCCACGGCTTCTCTGCCCCAGGTCCTCACCGTGGCACCAGCCAACAGAGGGTGGGAGGCAGAGACCACTCTCTGTGTCCACAGTGGATCTGGGGCAGGGTTGGGCCATCCTTCTTCCTCTGGAGGAGAAAGTGACCTGGGTCAGCCACCCAGGCTACAACTCAGCATCCCAGGGCTGTGGAGCAGGTGGAGTGCACACCTGGTGGCCAGCCACGCTGAGGATCCTTGAGTACTGTAGCTCCTGTTCCCAGGCTGGGCCTGTCCCTGGCAGGGGCCTGGGAAGGCAACAAGAAATGCTGGCTTCTGCTAGGGACTGGGGACTCCCATGCAGGGCAGTCCCCACCCCTGCCTGTGTGGGCCTCATACCCTGGTCCTGAGCTGGCTCTGGGGGCTGCAGAGAATGGGCCCTGGCCCCATGGGTGGCTGTAGAGCCTCCTTGGAGCACTGCTCCCGTTGATGTGGTGGGTGCTGCACTTCTGCCAGGAGAGTCCAGGATCCCAGGGATCCTTGGGAGTCTGTCTGAGTATGGCCACAGATAGCCTCTGTGAGGCACAGCGCAGGACTGCCACTCCTGTTCCTCAGAGCCATGAGAACGTGGCCAATGTCTGCAGCAGGGAAGTGGGGGCTGGGAGTGACCACATGGCTCAGAGTTCAAAGCCAAGTCCACTCGCCTCCTGTTGTCTGAGTGAGATAGCTGAGCAGTCACAGATACTGCCCAGCTATAAGAGGACACAAGGACCACATCCCAGCGCAGTCCTGTAGGGATGCTGGACAGACACTGTGCTGTGGGAACAGAGAGCCTGGGCACCCCCAGAACCACCTTGTGGTTCTTGTGCTCCGCACTCTGCCCCCAGAGTCAGTGCAGGGACCTTCCTCTGCTCGGCTAGAGCAGGGAGGGCCTCTGGTCTTCACTCGTGCCGACCCCACACTCCCATCCTGGCCTCCATTTTCAAGCCAAAGTACCAGCAGTGCCTTGGCACCTGGTCACCAAGCGATGGTGAGTCACAGATGCTCTGAGGTTTGGTTTTCAACAAAGTGGGTGCTTCTCAGCTGTTCTCGGGTGCTTGCCTCCAGCCCTCGACTCTTGGATTTTATGTGAAGGGGCTGCCCCTTCCCATCTGGCTGGGTCCCCTAGGGTGCAGAGCATGGGTCCTGCCTTCTCCATCCTTGGATCTGGTCTACCAAGAACTCCAGGGCTTCTGTAGGTCCCCACTGCCAGGGGCCCTGCAGCAGCTGTAACTCCAGTCATTTCCCTTTTCTCCAAGGTTCTTCTTGCAGGAAATCTCAGGGTGGCACCTTTGGCATGGCTTCCATGCAGCTGCACCCGGCAGCATCCCAGCCTACCCACAGAGAGGCCGTCTTCTTTCCCTTCCACACACCTCTTCAGCCACCTCACCTAAAAGCAAGTGTCCTGCTTCTGCAAGTTTGGGGAGGATGGTCACATGATCAGGTGCGTTCCAAGGTGCCCCCTCCACCCTAGAACAACACTCAAGGCACTTCTCCAGAGCTTCCTCCAGGTCTCAACTTCTGCCAGAGGGCAGGGCCTCCCTATGTTGCCCCCCATCCTTCTTCAAGGAGACACAGCCACCTGGCCACCGGGCACCTCTCTGCTCAATTCAGGTTCCCTGGAGCAGGGCGTTCACTCTTCTCTGGAGAGAGTGAGAGAGTGGCTTGGCCTCAGACCTGGGGGGCACCTGTGTCCTCAGGGTGGCTGGAGCTGCTCTACCTGCCAGCTTTTTCTTCCTCCATGCCCCTTGCAAATTAAAATCAAGAAGCAAGACAGGTCCGAGCATGGCCTGGGGTGGACATGCTGCTCTTGGTCCCCACTCCACCTGGTCCTGGGGAGAGCTGTTCTTTAGATCTTCTGCCATGCCACACCTGCAAGAGTGGAAATCCTCGGTCCCTGAGGTCCACTTCTCCATGGTGGTGAGGCTCCAGTTCTCTCTCTCTGCCAGCTGCTACATCCAGCTGTGCACAGAGCCAGAGGGCTTTGCTGACAGGTCCAGGCTTTGGGTTCTGATCACAGGGACATTTCAAGTAGTTCCGGCAGAAAGACTCCGTGATGAACACGGCACGATTCATGGAGATTTATATACACTGGGCAGAGGGGGCATCTGGGTCCAGCTGGGCACCTTCGCCGCAGCTGGGGGAGGCATACAGTGTGGGGACAGGGACTCAAGTTGGTCCCCAGACAGTGTAGTGGCTCTCCAGCCCCTCAGTTCCTGCTAATTGCACTTGGTTTCCTGGCTTCCAGGTCTCTGCCCCTCAGGCTCCTGAAGGTGCCATGATTGGGACCCAGCTGTGACTGAGTTTGACATGATCCCATTGTCCCACAGAGTCCTTTCAGCCTGGGCTAGCTGGGACGCAGCCACACGTTGAGAGGCCTCCCTTTAAAGCTGTTTTCAAACACATGTGAGTTCTGTTTTCAGTCTCTGGGCTTTGAATAACTTGTTTGCTGTTGAATTTTGGTGTGAGTAGGGTTGGGGCTGCCGCAGGACTCAGCTCATTCCATAAACTCTTTTTATATCCTGTAAGATTAAAAATAATTTGAAGTGAAACAAGAATGTAGGTTCAAATGGCTGGATGGTCCCTAACTTATCTGCCCCCACCTACCCTGTGCCATCTTGAGCTCTCCAGCAGAGCCCCAGGGGGTGTTCCCTGATGATCTAGGGGCATAGCAAGCAGGATTTGAATCTCCTGTCCTCCATCCCCACCCGTGCCCCTCCTTAGTGGACAAGGTGAGCTGTCTCAACCTGAGAGCATTCCTTTGTCCATTCACATTGAATGGACAGCCAGTATGTGCTATGCTCTGTCCCTGACCCTAGGGTAGAAGGTACCAGACCTAAGCCTTGTGGGCAGCAGTCAGCATCAGGGGATGCTGCCCTGAGGATGGCAGGTAGGGCCAGCTGTCAGAGCTCAGCCCAGGTGTCCAGGCCTCTAGTCGGCACAGGGGGTACCTCTAGAGCTTGGGTCCCTCGGCCTGGGCTGAATTCAGGGCAGAACCCTAGAGTCCAGGATCCCTGGCAGACCCCAGGGCCAAAATGGAAACTCAGAACAGGAGATTTGGAAGGCTCAGATGTCAAAGGAGGGACTCAGGGTGACAGGTGCCCAGTGATCAGTTCAGGACCAGCTGCGGGGGTGGCTTCTTGCTTGTGGTTCTTGAGCACAGATAGACATCCATACCAGGCAAGGGGGCAAGGGTCTTCAGGGGGGAGAAGCAGGGCTCCCTGGGCATTTGGCAGGTAAGTCACAGTCTGGCCTCTTGGGCCACTGGTTTATTAACTGCCTGCTCCTGCAGTCCCCTGACCATGCAAGCCCACTCGCTCCACACTCTCTACAGAAGAGCCACAGAGAGCACCGGAACCTGAGGCCAGACTGGAAAGGGCCTTGGAATAAAACAAAAACCCCTCTGTGGATGAAACTCCACTAGGGCTTTCCTAGTCCCAGCATGCCTTCCCAACCTCCCTGCCATGGCGGGACTGCAGGAACCCCAGGGTCACCAGGACTCGAAGATCCCGGGTGGGACCCATCACAAGGCCCCTTCCAGGAACCCCCTCTCTCCAGCACTGTTCCAGCCAGAGATAGAAGGGTCCTCCTTTGTTGGAAAATCGTCATTTTTATGAGTAAAAAGGAAAGCATACCAACCCGAGTTCCTGGCTCACTGGAGTCGTCAAGGCCACAGAATGAATGCTAGTGAGAAAAACAAAAAAAGGAACAAAAACTATAACATAAGACCAAAAGAAAATGAGGAAGAGAAAAGAAAAGAAAAAAGATATAAGATATGTGGTATGGATTTCAATGACAGCATCTTACAAGATCTATGACATCAGGTTGGGTTTAGAGACCGGAGCTGGAGACGAGCAGGTTCAGGAGCGGATGTCACCTGGGACGCCCGGCTTCCAGCACGCCATGACCAGAGGGCTACCCCTGCAAACTTCCCCAGCACTCTGCCAACCCAGGGTGCCAGGGGAGGGCTACACCCCGATCTGGGACTTTTGGGAGCTGAAACTGGGTGGGCATGACAGTGCAACCCTCTGGAGGTCATGATGGGTGACTCCCACAAGCACACCAGGCCGTGTTGAGGAGGGATGAGGTGTCATCACCCCGGTCACCCAGCGCAACCTGCAGATGACCCACCATCCCTACTAGGGTTTTTTCCTTCCAAGAGATTCACTGTTTTAAAATTCTTTGTGTCTTTTGATCAGTTGATTTTAAAAAGAAAAATAAACAGCAGGAAAAACCTAGCCACACAGGAACAAAAAATCATACAGGCCATATTGAAAAAAATGTCTTCAACTCTTCATGACTTGCTTTGCTCCAATGGAATCATTAATCATTACAAGAAACCTACCTGACCATCACCAGGGGCTTTTGAAATAGTTATTTTTCCCCCTAAAAATCAAGGTATTAGCTCCACCATGTTATTTATTGAAAAAAGTAAAAATCCAGATAAACGGCCACCAGCTTCTTTAGAATCCCTGGAGGTGAGAGCTGCAGGGGCCATCAGATCACCTAGCCTCCTTGTCCACATGGGGAAACTGAAGCCGGGACAGGAAGGGCCACCCAGGGGCTGTGGCAGAGCATCTCTGGCCACTGACCAGGGTAGCCGGAGCTTCCCCCATCACGACAGCCAGGTGGTGGCCATGAGGAAATGCGGGTGACCTGCAGGCACCCTGGAATGCTCCTGGTCCTCGGCCTGACCAGGTGTCCTTCCCTGGCTGAGGCCTCCTGCTTGATACACAGCCTCTGAAAGTTCCTCTGGGACTAAAGGGGACAGACCAATGCACCTGCCTTGAGGAAAGAATGGAAAGGAGCTGGGCAGGGATGCCAGTGTCTCCCCAGTGTCCTCCCCAGGAAGAGTGCAGCCG